CATTATGCTGAGTGAAATAGGCCAGGTGCTGAAAGACAAATACCATATGATCTCACCTTTAACAGGAAGCTAAACAACAAAACAAACAAGCAAGCAGGAAAAACAAAAAACAAAAACCAAAGACACTGAAATAGAAAACAAGGGGATAGTGACCAGAGGGGAGAAGGAAGGGAAGTTAAGGGGAAAAAGGGGGAGGGATTTGGAGGAACAAATAAGAAGGACACAGGGACGAGAACTAAGGGGGGTGGAAATGGGAGGGAGGTGGGGAGCAAGGGGCGGGGGAGGCTGGGATGGGAAAAATAGACAAAAAACTATACTTGAAAAATAACTAAATAAAATTAAAAAAAAAAGACTTCCAGTTTCATCCTGTGGTCATGCATGCAGGACACAGCCTCACATAGTCATGAAAGAAGATGGGAAATGCTGTTTCTATTGTACACGGCTTAAGTTTTGGCCCCCACAAAAGTTAGGGTGCTGCTTCTAAAATGAAAGGAAAGAGTAGATGGTGTGAGTCAGTTAGCCTCTGCCAGAAACCAGAATTCAGATGAAGCAGAGAGAGTCTGCTTCTATCTGGGTAACCAAGGAGGGCTACCTGCACCAGGTGAGATAGGGCTTCACTCTTTAAAGATTTGGACTTAATGCAGATGAACGCAGGAGAAATAAATCGTCTAGAACCGCGATTCCCTTCCTGTGTGCTGGAGTTACTCTAAAACACCACAGTGACTCCTAAAGTCTTTGTTGGTTATTTTCATTTTTTGAAGGAGATCCAGTAACACTCAGCATTTGTTGGCTACCAGATAAAATACTAGCTTGACACAGTTCAGGGGTTCAGCATTAAGTTGTGCTGTATTCCTTTGGATGTTGTCCTGCCTTCGTAAAGCTGGTTCTTGGTCGTCACTGTGTAAAAAGTTGTACAAGCAAAACTCCTCATGCAGCAGGTGGTGGTTTCCAGTCTGATTCCGAGGTTTGAGGCGGTGCGGTGCCCAGCTGGAGCACATACCCCATTAGTAAGTAATTGGGGTTAAGAATGACTTGAAAATGTTTGAAAATTTTAATTTGTGTATAGTATTTTTTTCAAACGGCTACTAAGTTTCTAGGATACAAATATCTGTAAAATTGCTAGACTAAACTACTTAATAAATGGAACTGTTAGGCATTTCTAGTGACCTAGAACCACCGAGATAATTCCCTGGATACTGATGGTGCTGTGAACTGACAATGTCTGGGAGTCTCTGATTTAGAGGATAGTGGAGTTACAAGGCTGCTTAACTTCCTGTTAACATAGGTGGTATTTTAAAAACTTTGTCTGTAATAAAATCCACAATGTACTTTTTTGAAACACCAGATTTTCTATTGACTTCAAAGCTCATAATGGGAAATGTGAGTATGGAATTAAACTCCTGGTGAAAACTAATTTTATTAATTTTAGCATATTTTCCCTGAAAGAGAAAGATTTTTATATTATTTTTTTTACCAAATACATTTTCTCCTTCAAGTGTTTTTGGATGATTCATGAATAGTCTTTGTAAGTCATGTCACTGAAAAAAAGAAGCAGTGATTTGCATATTATGTACAGAGCAATTTTTGTTCATCTGCCTCCATTTATTCATTTATTCAGCAGGTATTAGTCATTACTGTGTGCAGGTGCTATTCTAGATGCTGGGCATACCCTCAGGAAAAAATGGTTTTATTTACATACATATAGAGAGATACAGCTGTGTTAGTATTATTTATGCTATGATTATGTTTTTACAGAAGCAGGAATAAATTTGCACTTTCTAACTTTATAATCTTATGAGCGTTTGTTAGTTATTAGAGTTCACATTCATGGTGCAGGAGTATTATAGTTTGAATATCCCTGAAACTTATGTTTCCCTTTTTCCTACTAATAAACACATATAGTCTTAATAATTTTTTTTCTATTTTGAAGATTATTTTTATGTTTAAACCTTTGTGAAGTAACCATGTTTTACAGCAAAACTTAGGCAGTTTTGTCTGCCAATTGCCACCTATAAATTTATATATTTTCAGTATGGGCCCTAGTGAAGAGACAAAAGTCTGATTTTCTTAAAGAATTTATATTTTAGTTTGGTTATCCTATTACATTTATATATTTTAAAATATCCATCTGTGTAGATATACACTGATGCTCTGTGTCACAGGTGAGCAAACTTTCCTGTAAGGGGCAGATTATAAATATTTTAGTCCTTTTGGGCCACATGGCTTTGTTGCCACTGCTCCATGTTATAGCAGGGAAGCAGCTGTAATAATATACAAACAAATAATAAGCATGGCTCTCCACCAGCAAAACTTTATATTTAAAAACAGACAGTGGGTGGGTTTGGCCCATAGGCTGTAGTTTGCTGAGCCTATTCTATATGTTTAAAATGTAAAATTTATTATGTGTGGGAAGGTCCAACTGACTAAAAAGTATTTCTTACTTTACCCTACAATAAGAGTGAGGAGCAAGTGTGTACAGCACCCAGACACGTGCCCCTACTCCGAATGAGGGCGTCATGAGAGGAGGTAGGGCTGTTGTCTCTGATGAAGAACTGAGCACCTTTGTGGCTGAACTTCTGTTGCTTGTAACCTGATCGTCAGCGGCTGTTCCATCTTCAAGAATTCTCTGGGGGAACCTGCCTACAGAGGCACTTGGTATCCCCATTCAAATACTTCTGGTTCATTGGCTCTTTGTTAGGTCTTGGCCTTGACCCCAGGAAACAATCTTCCATCTGAAGGATGGATGGACAGGGATCTCCTTGTTCTTAAGCAGTTTCTGCCATTGAAGCTATAGAAAGTTTCCCTAAGAATGTACTCCATGTTGATAAAGTCAAACGCTACAAAAAGGTAGAACAGGTTAGAGACTAATGTACCTAAAATACCAACTGTAGCCTCGTTGACGTTTGAAATCTTAAGAAAAGGGATTTGAAGCCCCGAACATCCCTGTGGGCACCCAAAGCCTCTCCTAACCTCTGCCCACCCACTAGACCCATGGTTCTCATGATGAGATCTGCTTCCAGGCTCTGAATCTCCTGAATTAGTTCAGTTTGGGGATCATTTCTCCTGTCGACTTTTCTCATCACCCAGTGATACACAGTCTCTTTCTCATGCCGGCTATAGCATGGAGAACAAATGAGGGAGCCCGATAATGGATATAGGTAAACAAGACAAGAGGAGGCATCAGGACTCCTGGGGAGGCATGGTGGCCATTTTTACCACAATGCAGGGACTATGTATCTGGAGATTTTTGCTTTGCACAGTAATGTATCCGAGATGCCCGAACGATGTCTGACACACAGTAAGAGCTCAGTTACCTTTTCTGGAGACATGAAACCCTGGAAGAATACCAGATATGGGAATGAAGATTATTTATTTGGTTTCAGACATGTTAGGTATGAGGTGTTTTTGCAGAATCCACTGAGGAGATGTGAAATGGCCCGTTGGATACAAAGGTCTAGAGCTCAGAGGAAAGGTCTGTGCTCACTATTTAAAGTGTAAGCTGCATGTGTAGGACTGACAATGGATGCGTCTGTGTGGGTGACATTAGGGGAGAGAGTGAATGTGAAACAAGAGCTTCCAGAAAGAGAAGGAATGACTGGAAAAGTAGGAGAAAGAGGGGTGAGAGGGAGAAAGTGCTTGAAGGAGGTAGGAGTGGCTAGCTGCAAATTTTGTCTCTCAGATGATACTGAGATATCATTACAATGATGTCTAAAAAAATGTCACTTGGATATAGCCACATGGAGGTCGTTGGGAACTGTAGCAAAAGCTGTGTTGGCACAATGACAGATGCGGGTGCCACACTGTAGTGGCTGTGTGAGCAAACAGTAAGTGAGGAAATTCGGACAATATATATGGACTCTGAGAGCATTTTGGGTGAGAAAGAAGGAGAGAGGCAGGACAGTGGCTGACGCAGGGTATTAGTTAGAGGATGGGTAAGAAAAATAAAATATAATATCCAGAAGACACTCAAGCATGGTTCAAAGCTGATGGCAGTGTTACAGGAGAGGGAGGGGGGCTGTCAAACACTAGGCACTGGAATTTAATGATATGACCTGAAAGGAGATTCAGGAGACGTTACACAGAGGTTGTAGGTCAAGCCCTGAGACTGCCCGAGGGGAACATGTGAGGGGATTCAGAAATCCAAGAGAGTGAGCCACGAGAAACACCTCGCTAGGGCGACCCGAAGAGTTTGCTGGTCGTGGGTGATGCAAGTCACTTTCGGTTGCATCTCAGACTCCTGTTGAAAAAGTCTGCACAAAGCTAGCCACTTGCAATAAGTGAATTTCCAGACATTGTTTCTGGCAAGAGATTGAACTAAGCAAAATGGGAAGTGTTTGAAGACGAGAACTTTATCTGAACCATCACTGTTGCACCTCATCAGCCTCCCCCAAATGGATGGGCTGCAGGGGCACAGCGTTTAACTGGCCAGCAAGGCAGGCTCTTTTTTATTGTTCAACTTGCCACTAAGTTCATGGTCAGTAATATTAAAACTTGCTGAATTATTAATGGCTGAAAACTTATTTTATCCAGATTCATGCAGATTTGGGTTAGGACTAATAAGGCGAACAGCAATGAAGCCTGGATAGTGTCTTGTCTACACCTACTCACCAATATATTATCACGGTGCGTGGCAGTCTTTGCTTACAGCTCTGGGCCAAGGTGCGCTCTTGCCATAGTTATTTATGGCCCTTTGGACTAATACCAAATCGGCAAATGTGTTTAAAAAAATCAAGATGGAATATCATTACAAGTTCATGCACTTCCGAAAAACATTTTAGGAATAGATGATTTTCTCTGCCTTGAGTGCAGTTGTACTGTTATTTGTTCATTTATTAGTGTGATTCGGTGGCTAAACCTGATTTCACGTCCTAAAGTACACATGGTAGAATCTCTTAGGGGTGCTGCTGCTTTGAATGGATGGCTGTACTCTGCAATTTCATGCCATGTATTGGGTTGCTTTGTGATATTAAAACCATGTTTCATATTTCTCTTTCCTTTAGGTCCTGGGAGCTGATGAAGATCGCATGGGTGATGGCTGCTCTCCACAGCTAACAACGGCCAACATTCTCCGTTTCCTGTTGCTGGTCCTGATTCCCTGTACCTGTGCCCTCATTGTCCTGCTGGTGATCCTGCTTTCCTTTGTTGGTAAGCATTGTCATTAGTCAGGAAAAATGAAGTCAATATTACAAAGTAACATGCTTTATAAGAGTGATTTCTACTTAGTACTTATTTAACCTGAAATATCAACGCAATAAGTTACCTGTTGACTATCTTAAGCAAATCTGCAGTTTTAAACACTATAATCACTCTCCTAGATATTATTATTAATATTAACTGATGCATATTAATGAATTAAAATATTTAAGGAGTGATTACCAGGTAGCAGAAACTTTGAAGATCCCTGAAAACTCAAGGATATTTCAATTAGTCCTTTTTCTCAGGAGCCCACAATTGAGAAGAGGAAATGATTGTTGCACGAGACACCACATGTTGATGGTAAAGGTGTATATAAGGGACTTTGGGGGCAGTCAAAAAGGCTAGTATTTAAGGGGGAGACAAAGAAATGGGGAGGAGTCAGAGGTACAGGAAGAAAGGTCAGAGAGGAAGGAAAGGAACGGAAATGCCGGGTTTCACTGAAGGCAAAGGAGGAGCGGCCATCAGAGGTCAGAGGGCTAAGGGCAGGGAGGGGGATGGAAGAAATGCCTCCGCCCAGGAGGACTGCAGGTTTTCCGCTGGGGCAGTAGCTGCCCTGCCTACTTGGTGCCATCTGTGGCCTGCTCTTAGAAAAGGGCAGGAAAAAGCCCTGAAACTCACCTCCGCCGCTCTCTTCTTCCGAGACTCAGCGCCTCTCTTTTGCTTCTTCTCTGGTGCCCTGTGGTAGCTCCTTTTTTGTGTGTCATCCAGAGTTTATAGTCATTACCTCTGGGGAGGTCTGTCTGGTAGAAACTCCTTCAGTCATACCCCCGTCATTTAAAAAAACTTCGCTCATGTTCTCCTGTGCTCTGAGGCTCACACACATTGAAGACTGTTTTCTTTCATTCTTAGGATTGAATGTAAGTTTAAAACATACTTTAAGGTATCTCAGTGCTTAGAGGCCCCTGAGGGATGTTATTGAAGCAGCACTGTAAGAGGCTTATTATTTATTTATTAAGTTTTTAATATTTTGTACAGCTTTATTACAGTCTAATTCATATACCATTCAATAACTTTCAGTGTGTTCACAGATGAATGCATCACCAAAGTCCATTGGGGAGTATTTTTGTTATCACAGGGACTCTATGCTTGTTAGCTATCGTCCCCCCATCCTTCCCTTCTGCCCTGCACTAAGCAGCCACTAATCCACTTTCTGTCTCTGTAAATTTCCCTATTCTGGACGTTTCATAGGACCATGCATGGTTTATGTGACTGGCTTCTTTCACTTGGCATAACATTTTTGAGGCTCATCTGTGGCATAGGATGGGTTAGTGTTTCATTCCATTTCATGGCCAAATAATATTTCATTGTGTAGACATACTACATTTTGTTTGCCTATTTGTCAGTTGATAGACATTTGAGTTATTTCTATCTTTTAGCTATTCTGAATCATGTTGCGTGAACATTCATGTACAAGTTGTTGTGTGGACATGTTTTCATTTGTCTTGGGTGTATACCTGGTGGTAGAATTTTTTCCACCTATGTATGGGATGATAGATCTGTAGCCATTAAAGTTTTTAAAATTTTCCATTTACAGTTGATGTACAATATCACATTAGTTTCAGGTTAGTTGTAAATTTGATGTGGTCATGGGAGTACACTGGTACCATGTTTCCTACTTGCCGTCTTGACTGGAAGAAGTTAGAATCTGAAACCATTTTTAAGTGCTATTTTGGCTTATATGGAGGTACTCTTTAGAAAGTGGAAGTTTTCCAGACATCTTCTTCAAAAGTACTCTTTTTGTACTTCTAGAGCAGTTGGTTTGATATAGATATATTGAAGTAATATCTGCCCAAATAAACAGTTCCTATTTTATAACTGATAGGTTTGTTGTTATAATGAGCAATAGAATCACTTTATATCTTTGTTTTAAAAAACCCATTAAATTCTGCTTACTTTTTAAAATGTTGTGTTTGGTTTGAGTTTATAACTCCCTGCTCTTTCAAACTTTTGCAGCTATTTCTGGGTTCCTAATGGTTGGTTGCTAAGGGAAGCTGGAATGTTAATTGTGTATAAAAGGCGTTCTGGCTTCAAAAGTCAAAGAGATAGTAGAGGATTATTGATTAGGAAAAGGTAATGAAAGCTCTGTGCTAACAAACACAGATGTACTACGTGTCTTTAATTTTGCCCATTTGCGATTCTGTCATGCATGAAGTCAAGATGGTAAAAAGATTTCTGGAGATAAAAGAGTTGGACTTTATGAGTAGTTATTTCAGCAATAGGCTGTAGAAGAGAGCAAATTATTTCTCAGCTCAACCCTGTAAGCTAAGTTGGAGCTACAGGGGTTTAGTTTTCTATTTCTAAGATCAGCAGATAGTGTGAGCTGTCTGTCTCGTTTCAAAGGCTTGGATTCCAAAATAAGAACTCAAGTTTTTGGAAGAAATTGAAAGGAAAATTAAAGAGTGAGAAAGCTACAATAGTATGCCTAGAGTTTTATTTCTTAAGTTACAGCCGATACTGAGGCCACATGGCATCAGAGAAAGAACTTGCAGCTTGACACCAGGAGGCCGGGTTCAGCGGCTCACCCTTCTGGTCAGTGGCAGTGTGGTTCCTGGGTAACACACCTTACCTCTCCGTGAAATGGGGATCAGAGTTCTTATTTGTTTCACAGAAATGTTCTGGAAGTCAAATGAAGTAATATTTGTCAGTATTCTTATAAATGACAAAATTTGTTATGGAGGTGAAGAATTAGTTTTTGCTTATAAATATTATTGTTAAATAACTATTTTAATAAACAGTTCTGTTTTACTTAAAATGGACTAAAATGTGTTCATCTTATTTTCAGTCTCTCCATAAGAATTACAACCTTTTTACTATGACCCATTGTCCTAGTAACCCCATAATCCACAATCCTGTAACCCCAGAAACCAAGCCTTCACCACAGTACGTTCTAATTGCTGATGAAGTAGCTAGAACAGAGTGAAGTTGACCGACTATTGGAGTTGCCATGTGATGACAAGTTTCACATGACTTTTATGCTGAGACCTGGGAGTGACTTTCAGAGCCTAATTCACTTCTAAGAACTAGACTGGCAGTGGTTGTATGGACCTCACATGACTGGAGGAGTCGGCTTTGCCTCGGAGCACTTTATCAGACACTGAACTGATGCTCACCCTAAATTATATTTATATTTATATTATTATATCATATCATATCATATGCTGTGATGTTATATTAGCAACATTTAAAGTGAAATTACTTTGATATGCTGAGAAGCATGTGTACAACGTATACAATAGCAGATATAACTGGTACTACTCATTCCTTTAACAAACACTTGTCGAGTGCCTGTTAAGTGGGAGGCAGTGTGCTCTGGGCATCGGGCACGGCTGGAATAGTGCCGACCCTCACACACTCCATAGTGCCGTGAGGGAGGAAGGCATTAAACACGAGTGACACAGTCAGTTAATTACAACAGGGGTTAACTCCTAGGCGGGAAGAGAGAGTTACCAGGAGAGTTTATGACAAGTGTCTGAACCCAATTTGAAGTGAGGAAGCCTTCCCTGAGGGAGTGCCCTTTAAAGGTTAACTCCATCCTGAAAGGGGTGGAGTAAGAGAGTGACAGGATTGATGTGGTTGGGGCTTTCATCGGGGGGCCTTTGTTTCCACCCCCGGACCTCCCTCCCCAAAGAGATGAAGGGATTGAGAAGTACAAATTGGTAGTTACAAAACAGTCCCAGGAGGTAAAGTACAGCATAAGAAATATGATCAATAATAGTGCAAGAACTATGTGTGGTGTCAAATGGATACTGGAAATATCAGGCAGAATAGGAAGTATATGATTGTCTAACCACTACACTGTACACCTGGAACCAACACAAAATAATACGAAAAGGAAATTGATTGAAAAATTAAAGTTAAAAGAAAAGGCACCTTTGGCAGTTGTGTAGAGGCAGGTGGACATGAGTACAGTGTGTGGCAGGAAGGAAAGTGGGGGGTTATTACAAGAGCCCTGCAAATGTGGTGTTTGGGGGATGGTCTGCATGGACTTTTGCAAACTATTGTTCACCTCGATTTAATTTCACCACAGTGAATGGTCCAAAAAATCTCATTAGAATGCACCTAACTTCTTCTCCCCAGGCTGCTGACGACTTGGTTTCAAAGGCTCTTCCACTCATCCACATTGAAAATAAATTTTTTGTGTTTTAGCCATAAACTTATGAAGAATTACCTAAGGTGACTGTCCTAGTTTTCTTATGAAAAGTATATGTGTGGCCTGTTAATTTTTCATTTTTGTCATGCAATAAAGAAGAGAGAAAAATTCTAGTGGTGAAGTGCATAGGAAACATGGTAAATAGTCCATATTTTTTTAACTCAGGAGAAATTGTGCTCTTCAAAAGTGACTTTCTTCTCCAAAAATGCTAGATGGGCTGGAGGTCATTAAACTAAAATACAGTTATCTTAGCTATTATCTTAGCAGCTTGTGGCTTTTATAAGAATTTGGAATTATAGGAATTTTAACATCTTAACTTATAATGCTATGTTTTGAGTATTGTTTTAAAATGGAAAACCTCTCACGTCTTGATTCCCTTACACACAAATTTTATGATGCTTCATGGCTGGACCCCACATTTCTTATTTAAATCTCCCAATTCCTTCAATAACACTAGCCCTTCTGGTGCAGGCTTAACATCACAGGCTTCTCAAACTCAAGGGCATTTTTTCTTTATCTACCCAGGCCTGAGGTTATACCTAATATCTAAAGCTTTTTCTGATGGTAGTTAAAGGCCTTGTATTCAAAGTGTGGTCCATGGGCCAGCCATGCCAGCACCCCTTGGGGGTCCGTGTGAAATGCAGAATCAGCAGTCGTGGGTCCCACCCTGTACGTGCTGAATTGGCATTCTCACCCGATCCCCAGGTGATTTCCACACTTTCATTCGGACACCTCACTGCAATCTGATCTCCCCCCTTTTTTTCTTCTTTTCATGCTGGTAAATTTGGCCTTACCAAAG